TCCCCGTGCCAGCTCCCAGCCCACAAAGGCACCAGGAATCCTCCCTGCTGCTGCCAGCCTCCAACCCTGCCGGGAACCACCCCCACGGGTCCCCCCCTCAGGAGAACACCGGGATTTTGGGATTTTCCAGCACAAACAGCATCCCCGGGACGGTGCAGCCCGACCCCAAAGCCTCCCTGGGCTGGGTTTGTAAAATCCCCCCGGCTGCCCCCCGGATCCGAGGCACAAAATCCAGGAACTTCATCAACCCAGGAGTTTAACAGCTCCCAGGGCTCTTTGGGGATCGTTCCCAGAGATTTCCAGCCAAACAAAGCCTGGGAGCTCCGTGCTCTGCTCCTCCTGATTCCATAAAAATCCCTCTCCCTCCCAGGAGAGGGGATCACCCACAGGGGCCAGGTCCTGCTCCTGCCACAGGAGGCAGGGAGGGAGCAACAAATCCCAGAGACAAAACGGTCCCAAAAAATCCCAGAGACAAAACGGTCCCAAAAAATCCCAGAGAAAAAACGGTCCCAAAAAATCCCAGGGACAAAATGGTCCCAAAAAATCCCAGAGACAAAATGATTAAAAAACAAAATCCGAGAGACAAAACGGTCCCAAAAAATCCCAGAGACAAAACGGTCCCAAAAAATCCCAGGGACAAAATGGTCCCAAAAAATCCCAGAGACAAAATGATTAAAAAACAAAATCCCAGAGACAAAATGGTCCCAAAAAATCCCAGAGACAAAATGGTGGCTCAGAAAAAGCCGGGATAAATGGGATTTGGGGCAGTAACGGGCCCAGATCTCGGTGCTCGAAGCCAGCAGGGTTTTACAGCCCCGTCTGTGTCAGGCACGCCCAGCCCACACTGGTTTTGGGGGGTGTAGCTGGTCCTGGAATGGCCATGGATAAATTGGGTTTGTTTGGGGTTTTTTGGTGTTTTACCCCAGCTGAGTGTCAGGGTGACCTCGCTCCTCGTGCTCCTGAAGCGTTTCATCCCCCCACGCTTTGCCAGGGAGAGAAATTCGGAAATTCCCGCTGGGAATGAGTTCTGTCGCCGGGAGCAGCTCCCAGGCACAGCCACAATTCACCCCAAACGCTCCTGGAGGCAGCTGAGCCTCCATCCCTGCCTCGAATTGGGCTGGAAGAAACTGAGCCCCCATCCCTGTCTGGAATTGGGCTGGAAGAAACTGAGCCCCCATCCCTGCCTCGAATTGGGCTGGAAGAAACTGAGCCCCCATCCCTGCCTGGAATTGGGCTGGAAGAAACTGAGCCCCCATCCCTGCCTGGAATTGGGCTGGAAGAAACCGAGCCCCCATCCCTGCCTCAGCCCCGGATCTGGGCTGCAGGAAACGGGGAGGAGCTGCCAGGCTCCCACTGCAGCTTTGTTCTGCCCCAAAAACCCTCCGGGCAGCGTGTGCCCCCTCCTTGCCCCCAGGGACACAAAAGGGGCAGAAAAGGGGCAGAAAAGGGGCAGAAAAGGAGCAGAAAAGGGGCAGAAAAGGGGCAGAAAAGGGACAGAAAAGGGACAGAAAAGGGGTAGAAAAGGGACACAAAAGGGGCACAAAAGGGGCAGAAAAGGGGCAGAAAAAGGACACAAAAGGGGCAGAAAAGGGACAGACAAGGGACAGAAAAGGGGCAGAAATGGGGCAGAAATGGGACACAAAAGGGGCAGAAAAGGGACACAAAAAGGGCAGAAAAGGGACACAAAAGGGGCAGAAAAGGGACACAAAAAGGGCAGAAAAGGGACACAAAAGGGGCAGAAAAGGGACAGAAAAGGGACACAAAAGGGGCAGAAAAGGAGCAGAAAAGGGACACAAAAGGGGCAGAAAAGGGACACAAAAGGGGCAGAAAAGGGACACAAAAGGGGCAGAAAAGGGACACAAAAGGGGCAGAAAAGGAGCAGAAAAGGGACACAAAAAGGGACACAAAAGGGGCAGAAAAGGGACACAAAAAGGGCAGAAAAGGGACAGAAAAGGGGCAGAAAAGGGACACAAAAGGGGCAGAAAAGGGACACAAAAGGGGCAGAAAAGGAGCAGAAAAGGGACACAAAAAGGGACAGAAAAGGGGCAGAAAAGGGACAGAAAAGGGACAGAAAAGGGACACAAAAAGGGGCAGAAAAGGGACACAAAAAGGGGCAGAAAAGGGACACAAAAGGGGCAGAAAAGGGACACAAAAAGGGCAGAAAAGGGGCAGAAAAGGGACACAAAAGGGGCAGAAAAGGGACACAAAAGGGGCAGAAAAGGGCAGAAAAGGGGCAGAAAAGGAGCAGAAAAGGGACACAAAAAGGGGCAGAAAAGGGGCAGAAAAGGGACACAAAAAGGGCAGAAAAGGGACACAAAAGGGACACAAAAGGGCAGAAAAGGCTCCGGGTCTCTCTGCTCTCTGCTCTGTGGGGTTTGGGTCCCCCCAGCTCTGCAGTGCCCAGGTGCTGTGGGAGCTCCTCGCTGGGGCTCTGCAGAGCTCGTGGGGCTTTAATTTATTAACTGCAGCTTCCCAAAGGCTCGGGAGAACTGACACCTGGGCTGAGAGGGGAAGCTGCTCTGTCAGGTTGGGTTCATCGTCCTCAAAGCACACGCAGAGACGTGAAAGCCCTCCTGGCCATAAATCCTCCAGCCTTTAATAAAAAAGGGCGAGAGCTTAAAAAAAAAAAATTAAAAAAAAAAAACCACCCAAACCCTACAAAACCTGATACTACCATAAAAAAAAAAAAAAAAAAAGGAAAAACTTGGAAGCCTGTGGCTTTCCTCTCGCCCTGATTAAATGCAGATCACAGGAGGGTTTATGGGTTTTGCAGTGCATCTGGTGCCTGGCATCAATCTTGGCGGGCTGGCCGGGCACATACCTGCGATGATGACGGAGTCGGTGCGAGCGGGGCCGAATTTCAATGTCATCTCGTGCTTGTGTTTATGGACCGCCAGGTGGTCCTCGTTTGTGAACCTCTGAAACGAAACCGTTTAGAAAATGGGGCGTAAATGTGTTGTGTGCTTTGCCGTCCTGCCCGGGCTGCGGGGGAGGCGGGAGGGGTGGAGAGGGGGAGAGGGGGACAGGGGTGTGGGATAAGGGATGTGGGATAAGGGAATGGGCTGGGGGAGCAGGGACAGGGGTGTGGGAGCAGGGATGTGGGATAAGGGAATGGGATGTGGGAGCAGGGAAAGGGGTGTGGGAGCAGGGATGTGGGATAAGGGATGTGGGAGCAGGGACAGGGGTGTGGGAGCAGGGAAAGGGGTGTGGGATAAAGGACAGGGATGTGGGAGCAGGGACAGGGATGTGGGATAAGGGATGTGGGAGCAGGGACAGGGATGTGGGATAAGGGATGTGGGAGCAGGGACAGGGATTTGGGATAAGGGATGTGGGAGCAGGGACAGGGGTGTGGGATAAAGGACAGGGATGTGGGAGCAGGGACAGGCTCTGGGAACATGGACAGGCTGTGGGAGCACCGGGGGCAGAGGGAAAAGCCTCTGCCAGGGGTTCTGCAGGGTGGGGACCAAGGATTTTCCATAACCTGGTTTTCAGGTGATGGAGCAGCTGATGGAAATGCAGGGAAATTCTGGATCCCAAAATTCCCACTCTCCTGCTGGCTGAGGAAGAGGGGAATTTGGTGCAGCTGGGGCAACTTTTCCTGCGTGGGGTGAGGCAGAGCCGGCCCCAGATTCGGCTCCTGAGTTTTCATGGAGCGAGGGAGGGGGAGCATCTCCCCGCCACCGAAATCCCAGCTGCAGGACGGCCCCCATCCCTCGGGGGGTGAATCCCGCTGCCCGCGGGGCCGGGAAAGGCAGACAAAGGCAGCAGGCAGCGAGGCAGGGACGGGGTTAAAGCACAGCCCCATAAAGCCAGGATGGATTGCGTCTCTCCTAATAGACTGCGACAAACGGGCCGGGCTCCGCAGCGCTCGGTGCAGGAAAACGCTGCAGCAGCAGCAGCAGCAGAGCAGCGGCGCATTCCTGCCCCTTCCCCTGCGCCTTCCTCACCTCCCGAGCCCACCCAGAGCCTCCCGCTGCTCGGGCTGCTCCAGCGGGACAGGGCTGGGGCCTTCCCAGGGCTTTACTGACGGCTCTGCTGTTGCAGCAAATAAATCAATATATCTGCGTTTCCCGGCTGGGCACGGAGGGGACAATCCCTCGGTGCTGGGGGACAATTCCTACCCTCAGTGGCAGGGACAATCCCTCTCAATGGTGGGGGACAATTCCTACCCTCAGTGGCAGGGACAATCCCTCTCGGTAGTGGGGGACAATTCCTACCCTC